TTCAGGAAGGACATTTTTTAGAGCAGCTGCTCCTCGTTTGGTCCCACATGAGGGACCGTATGAGGGACCACATGAGGGACCGTATGAGGGACACATGAGGGACCGTATGAGGGACCGTATGAGGGACCACATGAGGGACCGCATGAGGGACCGCATGAAGGACACGAGGGACCACATGAGGGACCAAATGAGGGACCACATGAGGGACCACGAGGGACAGCATGAGGGACCGTATGAGGGACCAAATGAGGGGCCACATGAGGGACCAAATGAGGGACCACATGAGGGACAGCATGAGGGTCCGCATGAGGGACCAATGAGGGACCGCATGAGGGACCGCATGAGGGACCACAGGGACCGCATGAAGGACCACGAGGGACCACATGAGGGACAAATGAGGGACCACATGAGGGACAGCATGAGGGTCCGCATGAGGGACCACATGAGGGATATGTCAGCCCTGTGATTGGCTGACAGTCCAGGGTGTAACCCCGCCTCTCGCCCAATGACAGCTGGGATCGTCTCCAGACCCCGAATAGGAAAAGGGTTGTAGCTGATGGATGGATTATGAGATCTTAAAGTGCAGTTTAACACTTTAATGTTTAACTATCCATATGTATCCATGTTAATGGCTGGGATTGGATTCATGACTTATCACGTTTTAAACACTTATTCACTTTTGAAGATCAAATGAAGCTTCTAAATCTTTGAGAAGTTTTTCGTCAAAGTTTTTATCAGACCTAAATGTTATTGCTGACTTCTTTTTAAGGTTTTAAAGCTTGACGTCAGTATCTCCTGTAGAATCTTGGAGAGAACGTTTGCAAGCATGACCATTTTGCACAGAGTCCACGCTGACGTGCTGCAAAACGAGAGATCAAGTGAAAGCTCTGCAGCCTCAGAGCGGCTCGGAGCTGTCAGGGTTTGAAGTGTGTCTCCCAGCAGGCTGCATGAGAGCAGGATCTGTCAGAGCGTCCGTGTTTACACACAAACACCCGGTCATGATTACTGCCACAGTCTTCTCTCTGAGTTTTTGATTGTTTGTTTGTAGGAATAGAACCAGAGCTCACTCTCAGGGTGTGATGAGTCGTCTGGAAGCTGAATGTGATATTTGATAATAAGAGAGTCAGAAGTGATGCTGCAGCTCTGAAGGCACTCATATGAATTGCTAATTAACCTCTGCAGAAGCACAGTTCATGAATAAGGACTAACCTGCTGGGAGTTTGGAGGAGAGCTGACGGACGTGTGCAGGATCTCAGAGGGACTGAGACGTTTCAGGTGTGAAACAGAGAGAGAGAGAGAGAGAGAGAGAGAGAGAGAGGGCGAGCGAGGAGGTTTAACTCCAGCAGCTGACCTTTACAGAGCGTCCTTTTAGAGGCTACAGGACAGACCAGAAACCTGAGTGCTGCTGCTCTGTGACGGCTTTAGACACGTTTAAGATCAGGACTTTCACCTCTGGAGGTTTGCAGAAGCTCCCGCACTCATGATGAGGTCGATTGAGGAGCTCTTTGACTCGATGATGAAATAAAATCACAAATAAAAGATAAACACCTTTATTCACACGCCATGGTGACTCAGCGCTTTATTTATAGAGCTCCATTCATACACAGAATTCAACGTTTGAAGAGGTCCACTCAGTGAGATGTGTAGAGAGTGAAATGATAGACAAGTAGACATTTGTAGTCATGTTTAAAGCTAGAAATAGATCATTACCCGAAAATGTACAGAAGTTGTTTGTATTTACATCTAATGAGGAGGATCATAGATGGAGATTTAATTTTAAAAGTCCATTTGCACACACTGCATTAAAACAAATGTGTATCTCAGTAAATGGAGTTAAATTACCAATAATTATTATCTCAATAATAATTTAAAATGCTGCTCAAGTATCATTCAATTTAAAAGAATGTATAAAAAAAAGGTTCTGGGAAATTATGAATGTATTGCGTTAATCTAACTGATTGTATTTGATTGTTTCTATAATTTTTATCTATTTTTTGTTTTGTGAAAGAAAGAGAAACAACAGGTAATCTTATTCTGTTAAACAGTATCTTGTGTTATTAGGAAAGCTCCTGTTTGCTCATGAACAGTGTTTCAGCATTATGAAAAAATATTTTTTGTTGTGTATTATGGTGTTGAAACCAAACACTGAAATGAGCAAATACATCAAATATGAAATGAAATGAAATAAAGGTATCTTACTCTCTGATCATTAAGGAAACATGCTATGTTGAAGTGCTGGCTTCTCTGACAACAATGCAGCAGCCAGTATGTCCTCCTTCTAACTTTAGATTCTGCTGTGTTTTGATATTCTTCACATGTCAACATTACAAATAATTACTAATAACCCTGCGTTGTTTATCAAACTGATCCCTCCAGTCCTTATGTCTGAATGTTTCTGCCTGCAGGAGGAGGAGGAGCGTGGGAAGCGTCAGGTCCTGGTCCTCGGTCTCGACGGGGCCGGGAAGAGCAGCATGCTGATGGGTTTGACCCCCGGGGAGTCGGCGGCTAAAAGAGGCCGCTGCCGGCCCACACGAGGCTTCAACTTCATGAGCCTGAACGCCCCCGCCTGTCAGCTCGACTTCCTGGAGAGTAAGACTCATTTTCTTCCTCGATTCAGACGCTACAGGCTGCATGTTTAATGTGGAAGCATGAAGCAGAGAGACGGAAACAGCACTTTGTGTCTTTAGATTCACATTTTAACAAACTGCTCAACAGACTGCAGACTGCAGGAAGACGTTTTCAAATAAACACTACTTTCATAAACGCGTAGTGCGAGCAGTTGTATTGCCACTCACGTCCCTCTTTTAACCAACCAAAACAATACACCATGCAACAACACTGATTGGTCTCTACATGTGTCAATCAATATCAGGGTTGGGGCTGTTTCTTAGCTAACCTAGCTTACCGTGCTAACAGGACCTGCTGTGTAACAACAGGTAGGCTAGCTTCCCATGCTAACAGGATGGGCGAGCTGTCCTTCTGAACAGGAAGTCAGCTTTTTCCAAAGAGCTCCAGGAGAGTTACAGCTTCCTGTGAAAAGCCAATAAAGATGCTCGTTCTGCACACACTGCACATGTCCACATGTCGCCCACGTTGGAAATGTCGACATACAAAGTCATTTTAAAACGAGCCAACACAAACGCTGGATAGAGACAGAAGTAGAACTGTTTTTGAAAATATGGTCACTCTAGCTAACACAGGTTAGCATTAGATATTGTAAGACATGCCGTGCAATGTTGAAATGGAATTAAAAATGATGCTGGTCGCATTCCTCCAACGTTAGCTCAAACTTACGTTAAGTCTCTGCATGAACTTGCTTTTCTTCATACGTTACCTTTTACAACCTCTAATCACATGGTCGGGATGTACATTAAAAGTGAGGTGCCATTGAAGGAAACATGGTTTCCTCAGGAAGTCATTTCAGTTCTCTCACCTTGTTATTAACCTGAGACTGGGACAGAGAACCCTCACACTGTTTCTCCCCAAAATCATTCACTTTCTCTCAAATGCAAACCAAGCTAATGAAAAGATGAGAGTCTAAAAAGAAGCAGAAGATTTTATTGACAGACAAACAAACAAATCCAGCAAATGAGCATTCCTCTGAAAGACTAAAAAAAGATCAAAATAACTCTGAGTGTTTGCCGTCAGCTGCCTCAGAATGAGCTTCTGCAGGTGTATGCACATGAACGCGTCGCGCTCGGTGGCAGATTGATTCACGATCTGAACACAGAGCGCCTCAGATCTTTCTCTAATCTGTAAAAGTAAAAGCAGCACACGTCAGCGCCCACTCAGTCAGGATGCTTCTCTGTCTCTGTGCGGTGAGAGTCGGAGTCTTTGTCTGGGGTGACGTTGATGCAGAGGCATGTTGACAGCTCGGAGCAGTACAGAGCTCAGGGACGAGCGAGCTCTCTTTGTAGAGTCCGTCAGGGACATCCAGCCTTTAAACCCTGAAAAGATGCAGATCAGGGAGAGAAGTGGAGCCACGCTTTGAGCTGCTCAGATCTGACGTTGTGCTAAAGGGAAGTGAAAAACAACATCTGGGAGAAGGTCCTGATGTTTCAGACAAACTCAGCGTGCATTTGCCTCATGTTTGTTTCTTCTTCTGGTGCTGGAACAGTTTGTTCTAGTTTGTTTTTCATCTGATTTGATGAACTATGTAAATGAGCTGTGTCTGACCACGCCCCCTCTCTGGAAGGGCTTGAGTGTCTCGGTGCTTTCTTTCTCCATGTCCTATTGTTTACGGTGAGAAGGCAGACTCAGAGGGCAGAACAAACACCTAGCTGTGGGAGTGTCACCCACCTGGGGGAGGGGCTACTGCTGATGCAGCCATCGCCATCCGGCTTACTCGATTGGCTGTGGAAACTCAAAAGAGATCAGGGTTTACTTTACAATCAGGTGACTTTGTTAGAATGAACGTTGTAGGTGTAAAAACAAGGTCATCCACACCTTTATGATTTAGTGTGTACGTGTGTGTGTGTGTGTGTATGTGTGTGTATGTGTTCATAAGGCGCCCTGCAGAGCGTCAGGACAAACCTCCCGCTTAGCCCCCCCCCCCGACTTTAAAACAGCTGCTCTCCCAGCTGAGCGTCCGCTCCACCATCAGGTAAACAGGTATTTATTTCTGCCACCTCACGTCAGCTCCAGCCTCATCACTGCCCTGTTGCCTAGCAACAACCTCCGTTAAGTCCGGCATTAATGAAGTCCTGCTGAGCGGCTGTGTGCCGCACTCGGAGGCGGCGACGGCCTGAAGTCAAACCCGCCCGGGTGTGTGAGCGAGCGATTGGTTTCAGCCGCCGAGCGCCGATGCTCATTAAAGCTGCAGGTCAGATCGGACGCACAGCGGGATTGTGGGAAGTTAAAGCATGCGGTTGTTAACCTCCCTAAGACTGAAGACGACAACTGAAGGAATGCAGAATGATTTAAAATAAAAAACACTGAGACATTTTAAAGACGTGAGCTCCTTTTGTTGGTCAGTCTGAAGATCCTCCATGTGAACAAACTGTTCTCTGTTCACAGATTCTGCAGGAAAATAAAACCTGTACTCGGGTTTTAATGTGAGACGTGTTCTGGTTTTTGTTTGCAGTCTGAGTAGACCTGAGTTTGACCAATCACGTCTCAGCAGGAAGAACTTAGTTATCATCTCAGCGCTAATCTCATGATTTCATTTCTATGCAGAGAAAACTTCGTGTCACCCACATCACTAACACATCACCAACACATCACCAAAACATCACCAACACATCACCAACACATCACCAACACATCACCAACACATCACCAAAACATCACCAAAACATCACCAACACATCACTAAAACATCACCAACACATCACCAACACATCACCAAAACATCACTAACACATCACCAACACATCACCAACACATCACCAAACATCACCAACACATCACCAAACATCACCAAACATCACTAACACATCACCACACATCACCAACACATCACCAAACATCACCAACACATCACCAACACATCACCACACATCACCAAAACATCACTAACACATCACATCACATCACCAACACATCACCAACACATCACCAAAACATCACCACACATCACCAACACATCACCAAAACATCACCAACACATCACCAACACATCACCATAACATCACCAACACATCACCAACACATCACCAACACATCACCAAAACATCACTAACACATCACCATCACATCACCAACACATCACCAACACATCACCAAAACATCACCAACACATCACCAACACATCACCAAAACATCACCAACACATCACCATAACATCACCAAAACATCACCAAAACATCACCAAAACATCACCAACACATCACCATCACATCACCAAAACATCACCAACACATCACCAACACATCACCAAAACATCACCAAAACATCACCAACACATCAACATCACATCGCCAAAACATCGCCATCACATCACCAAAACATCACCAACACATCACCAAAACATCACCAAAACATCACCAACACATCAACATCACATCACCAAAACATCACCAAAACATCACTAACACATCACCATCACATCACCAACACATCACCAACACATCACCATCACATCACCAACACATCACCAAAACATCACCAACACATCACCAACACATCACCATAACATCACCAACACATCACCAACACATCACCAACACATCACCAAAACATCACTAACACATCACCATCACATCACCAACACATCACCAACACATCACCAAACATCACCAACACATCACCAAAACATCACCAACACATCACCATAACATCACCAAAACATCACCAAAACATCACCAACACATCACCATCACATCACCAAAACATCACCAACACATCACCAACACATCACCAAAACATCACCAAAACATCACCAACACATCAAAATCACATCGCCAAAACATCGCCATCACATCACCAAAACATCACCAAAACATCACCAACACATCACCAACACATCACCAAAACATCACCAAAACATCACCAACACATCAACATCACATCACCAAAACATCACCAACACATCACCAACACATCAACATCACATCACCAAAACATCACCAACACATCAACATCACATCGCCAAAACATCGCCAAAACATCACCAACACATCAACATTACATCACCAAAACATCACCAACACATCAACATCACATCGCCAAAACATCACCAAAACATCACCAACACATCAACATCACATCGCCATCACATCGCCAAAACATAACCAAAACATCACCAACACATCACCATAACATCACCAACACATCACCAAAACATAACCAAAACATCGCCAAAACATCGCCATCACATCACCAACACATCACCAACACATCACCAACACATCACCAAAACATCACCAACACATCAACATCACATCACCAACACATCACCAAAACATCACCAAAACATAACCAAAACATCACCAACACATCACCATAACATCACCAACACATCACCAAAACATAACCAAAACATCGCCAAAACATCGCCATCACATCACCAAAACATCACCAACACATCACCAACACATCACCAAAACATCACCAACACATCACCAACACATCACCAAAACATCACCAACACATCAACATTACATCACCAAAACATCACCAACACACCCAGTTATGGGGAACATGTGATCAGTGGATCTGAAGCTCAAAAACATAAAAATATGTTTTTTATCCGGTTACATCAGATCATCATGTCACGACACTCTTAATCAATCAGTCAGATGTCCATGAAGCTAGATGATAAACAGCTTACACAACCACCCAGCGGACTCGCCCACGCTGCAGAGTGAAGAGAGGGACTCTGCACAGAGGAAGTTATAGTCCTGAAAGTCCTAAATGAGAGAGTCATTAGAGGGTGAATAAAACACAACTCAGGATTCAGTAGATCTCTATGAGGAAAAGAGGTTAGAAAAAAACGTAGAAGTTCAGAACCATCAAATAAAGAAAAGGAAAAATAAATTCCTGCATGGTCATATTTCACTGACAAATAATTCTTGAAGGCAACGAGATGGAATAAATGAATCAGAGTCATTCTATCCAGCTTATTCAGCATGGATATAAATAATCACTAAGAGGCGTCTGAGTCCGATCAGCACGGTGAACATCTAACAGCTGATCTGATGTGACGTCATGACGGAGATTGGTTCACCTGCACGCTGACACTAAAGACGCTGACAGCAAACATCCGACGCCATCAAAAGTCAATAGAAGAACAATATGTCACTTCCTGTTTGTTGTTCTTAATCCAACCAGGAGGTCGGGTCACGTTGGTGAAGGGTGTGTGCAGAGCGCTGTGCACTCATTGGTCAATGGCACTGATGAAACAACATCGTAGAAAGCAGAGAGAAATCAAGCTCGACTTCCTGTCAGGAGGTCATGAGGCGTTATTATCGTTTACTGTGACACACCACACGGGGAAAAATAATCAACTTCCTGGTGGAGACACTACGGTCTCTGGATCAGACTCTAACAGTCTCTGAACCAGACTCTAAAGGTCTCTGGATCAGTCTCTTAACGGTCTCTGGATCAGACTCTAACAGTCTCTGGATCAGACTCTTAACGGTCTCTGGATCAGACTCTAACGGTCTCTGGATCAGACTCTTAACGGTCTCTGGATCAGACTCTAACGGTCTCTGGATCAGACTCTAACAGTCTCTGGATCAGACTCTTAACGGTCTCTGGATCAGACTCTAACAGTCTCTGGATCAGACTCTAAAGGTCTCTGGATCAGACTCTAACAGTCTCTGGATCAGACTCTTAACGGTCTCTGGATCATACTCTAACAGTCTCTGGATCAGACTCTAACGGTCTCTGGATCAGACTCTTAACGGTCTCTGGATCAGACTCTAAAGGTCTCTGGATCAGACTCTAACAGTCTCTGGATCAGACTCTTAACGGTCTCTGGATCATACTCTAACAGTCTCTGGATCAGACTCTTAACGGTCTCTGGATCAGACTCTAACAGTCTCTGGATCAGATTCTAACGGTCTCTGGATCAGACTCTAACGGTGCTAACATACTGAAGTCTGACCTCAGAGTTAGAAGTCTTAGAGCAGAAAGTTTCCTAAGAACCTCAACACAACGTTTGAAATGGTCATAAAGGTGAGAAGGTTTGATCCAATAGATGAAGTTGTAAACACGTGGTCCGTGTGGAGTACAGGATCTGTTTCTGCAGAAAGCTGATCTTATGTTTTATAAAAAGTTCATCTGACCGCTGAAATGGAATCTGTTGATTCATAAATAATTGATTTCACTTGAATGTTTGTGTCTTCTGTGCTGCAGTCGGGGGAGGGGAGGACCTGCGGAGGTACTGGTCTGACTACCTGAGGAGGACTCACGTTCTGGTTTACGTGGTGGACTCATCGGACCGGAGCCGCCTCCCGTTAGCTAAAGATGAACTTCACCGCCTGCTGACGGTGGAGCCTCAGCTGCCCGTGGTCGTCCTGGGAAACAAACAGGTAAACAACACGTTTCATAACTCAAGCTTTCCTATACTGATTAGAGCTCTCAAGAACTGCCCTCGATGTTGTGCTTTGCCTCTGGTCACTTCCTGTCAGCACCTGTGTGTCCAATCAGACTCAAAGCTGATCGTTTGCTCTTACTCACATTGTTCCCTTTTTTCTAGATCCTTGCTTGTGTTGTTCTTACTCTCTGATGTACGTCGCTTTGGATAAAAGCGTCTGCTAAGTGAATTGTAGAATTATAACATGGAACCCCTCCAGTCGTTATTCAGTCTTAACGAGGTTAAAGCTGAAAGAGAAGAAGAAGAGGGAGCCACTGCAGACGCTTCTCTCTTCATTAACCAACGAGTGATGATCCATGACACTCCTGAAATAAATATTTCTACATTTCCTCCTCGGCTCATATTTCTTCACCTCGCGCGGCGCTCGTCGAATTATTCATGAACCTCCGAGGGGAGTGGGAGTAATTGTCACATCTCTCTGCAGCTCTCAGCGCCCTGAACTGTGATCGCCATATTAGAGAGATAGATATAAGAATACGAGATGAACGCAGGAGCACTTACTGTTCGGTCAGCTAAATGTGAGAAGTGAAGCCGAGTATCACGGTCAAAACATTACAGATAAGAAGCATTTACACAAATTAAACTCCAACCTTCTCCCTGTTTTCATCTCCACATCTGATGAGGAATCATTTTACATCAGACGGATGATAAAGGCCACGTTTACACGAGAAGGATCCACTGAAAACGGAGACGCGTTTAGATTTCAAAAATGTTCAGTAAGCAGCAACCTCCGGTGTTAAAAACTGAAGCCGATGCTGAAGTGTAAAATCCTGCAGTTCCTTGTGTGTCCACTAGAGGCTGGCTGCAGAAGCACAGGAAGTCACATACACACCCATTCTAAAAAGCCTGTTTTTACAGCAGAGGTTAACATGTTTACAGAATAGGTGTGATTAGCTCATGTCTCGATGGACACACACTGTACGGGGGGTGAATGTTTTGATGACTCATCAGTTTTGATTTGATGAAGGATAAGAGTTATTCACAATAAGGCGTGTAGCTGACCTGATTGACAGGTGGGCGCGGTGTAACGGTTTGTCAGGAGGTTTAAAACCCGCCTCAGCTCCAGCTCTCAGCCTGTCGTTAGGTTGACTGAAAGTTAGCCTGAGACAGCATTTCCAGCATGGAGACCGCCATCGATAGGACTCCAGCGCCCCCTGCAGGGACAGACGGGGGACAACATTCAGGCTTCATATTTACAGTTGGTATTTCGTTTTATAAATCCGCTGATTTATAGACGTTTCTTTCCCAATGTGAGCTTATGTGATAAAGTCTTTTTGGGCCCAACAGGGTAAAGTGAAGCTGCAACACCAAGTTTGGCCACCGTGTAAAATTGGCTTCAACACTCAGCGCACTTCCTGGGGACTTGACCTATGTGCTACACATGGCTATTCACTGGAAGCGTATTGAGCTTGTGCTTAAGGTCTCAGTTTTCAGAGTAACTGCAGATTAACATATTAAAAGGAGACAGAGCTGCTTTAACAAGTCTGTACTCTTCAACGCGTTTTTAAAACTTTACGTTTACAGCACTAAACGCCGTCGTGGGCGTCATAAACGTTAACTTTGTTTTGCTTCTCGTTAACACTACAAGGGTGTAAAATGCAAAGTTTTGACAGGAGAGCAGGGAGATACAATTTGTGAATTCCATGTGAGGAGATAATAACTGAAAGCTGTGATGAATTTACCGTATTTTCCACACTATAAGGCGCACCGGATTATAAGGCGCACCTTCAATGAATGGCCTATTTTAGAACTGTTTTCATATATAGGGCGCACCGGATTATAAGGCGCATAGAATAGAAGATACTGCAGTCAAACGTTTGACTGGGGTTGCGTTATGCATCCACTAGATGGAGCTGTGCTAAAGGGAATGTCAACAAAACAGTCAGATAAAGTCAAACTTTATTAAGCGTTCTGACAACTCCGTTCACTCCCATGGTAACGATGTTCAAACGTTAATGTGCATATTAACAATATCTCCCAGCCTTGTTCACTCTTCTCCCAAACGTGGAGGGGAACTTTTCCCTGATTCAGTAAACACGTAGTAAAAGAAACAGTCTGATACCACTAAATCAAATGTTAGTGCATTCACAATATAGTAACTCTCGAAATTGTTCAACTTACGTATAAAACGTAGTTTTAAAAAACGTAGTTTTATACGTACGTTTTATACGTTTTTTATACGTTTATACTACGTTTTATACGTAGTGCATTCACAATAACTCAACGTTGTTCAAACGTTAATGTGCATATTCACAATATCTCCCAGCCTTGTTCAGTTGTAAACACATAAAAGAAACACAGTCTGATACCGCTAATTCAAACGTTAGTGCATAACTCAACATTGTTCAGTTACGTATAACACGTAAAGCTCACTTTTTCAGTTCATTCCCCGTCCACGAATCCCTCGAATTCTTCTTCTTCAGTGTCCGAATTGAACAGTTGGGCGAGTACGGCATCCAACATGCCCGGCTCCCTCTCGTCATTATCCGAGTCAGTGTCGCTGCTGTTGCCTGGCAGTTCAGTGATTATTCCAGTGGATTATAAGGCGCACTGTCGTTTTTTGAGAAAATTAAAGGCTTTTAAGTGCGCCTTATAGTGCAGAAAATACGGTAAGTATTAAATAAGATAATCTTTGACCGTGCAGGAGTGTTTTCCCCTGCAGGCGTTGGTTTAGCATTTTATAATAAACGACTGCACTCAAGTCAGCCTTAAATAAAAAATATCATCAGAAGAGGAAGGACAGCGCTCCAATTTGTGCAGCCACTTGAACAAGCCTGAACATTACACATCAATCACTTCAACAGATCGCTGTCCTCGTTCTGATTTTTGTCTCCTGAAGCATAACAGATGTTTGGTTTTTAATCCGCCACTTCATCTTTACACAAATAAAGGAGACAGGCGGCTTTCTGTAACAGATGATCAAATCTCAAGGAGGTTTCACAGCGCTTGAATATTTTCCAAAGTGAGATGAACAGAAGATCAGTTCATGTCGATTTGCCCTGAACGACATCAGGAAGATCAGACCTTTCCTGTCAGAGCTACACAGATCCTGGTTCAGGCTCCTGTGATATCTCTACTGGCAGGTCTTCCTACAGTCACTATCAAACCCCTGCAGATGATACAAAATGCAGCAGCACGACTGGTCTTCAACCTTCCTAAAAGAGCACATGTCACTCCTCTGTTCATCTCCTCACACTGGCTCCCAGTTACTGCTCGCATCAAATTTAAAACTCCGCTGCTCGCTTACAAAACAGACACAGAAACGTCTCCTCCTTACTTTAACTCTCTGATCCAGGTCTACACTCCCTCCCCCACCACGCTCTGCCAATGAAAGGCATCTGATCCAACCTTCACAACAGGGTCCTAAGTCTCTGACTAGACTCTTCTCCTCTGTCGCCCCCCGGTGGTGGAATGAACTTCCTAACTCCATGTGATCTGCAGAGTCCCTCTGCACCTTTAAGAAAAAGATAAAGACCCAGCTCTTTCATGAATACCTACTAACTTGATGATGATGATATTTAAGATGGTTTTGATGCTGATTAGAGCTTTCAAGAACAGCTGTCGATGTTGTGCTCTGTCTCTGGTCACTTCCTGTTTGCACTTCCTGTCGTTGTCTCCTCTCTCTCTCCTCCCTTGTGTTGTTCTTACTCTGTGGTGTTGTCTCTTTGAATTAAAGTGTCAGATAAATGAATTGTTAAAAACGTCTCAACTGTTCCTCAGAGTGTCTCTTTATTAGCAGCACTTTGTGAGATCTTTTATAACACTAAAGCCTCGGCCTCTGTCATGCTTTGCACTCGATGCAGAACAAAGAAATAATGTTGTCGTTAAGAGAAGTTTTTGTTAATGATACCATCTCTAACCCGCCATCACTATTTTATTCTCTACCTCGACACTCGCTGTGTTGAAACTGCACAAAAGGATTCCTGCTGCTGAAACATTTCAAAAAGACGAGGCGGACTTCTATGGATTCTGGTCCGCTGTGAAGAGTTAGTGTAGGAGGCCGGTGTTAAAGTCAGTCTTCACGAGTAGATACACAAATTATTCAGTGTTATGTAAACCTTTAAAGAGGACATCATCTCCCTCCTCCACCTTTTCAAACAGTCCTCCTCCACCTTTTCAAACAGTCCCCTCCTCCACCTTTTCAAACAGTCCCCTCCTCCACCTTTTCAAACAGTCCTCCTCCTCCACCTTTTCAAACAGTCCCCTGTGGTCTAAATGAAACATCTGTGCTGTGCTTTGGTCAAACTATAACATGACTCAAGCACCAGAGGAGGTTTGTGACCCTGTAGAAACCAGCTCTCTCACAACGCTCCGTTTTGGTGTGTGTGTCTCTTTAAATGTAATGACCCCCCCCCCCTCTGAGTTTTCCACATAGACATCACTCCTCTGTAGAGAGAATAAAAATGGCCGACCTGCTCAAAAGTTTTGTTCTAGTCTGGGGGTGGAGTCTATGGGTGGAGATACCAGGGGAGGGGAGGAGATTTTCTTTTTACCAGAATCCCACTGTGACATCACAAGGAGAGCACATTTGAAACAGACCATTTTTCTCTGTGTTGTAAGACTTATGCAGACCACAAACAAAGGACTGGATGGTTTATTTCACATGTTGTGGGTCAGTAGACTCTCAGGTTACACAGATATATGTTCAGAAACACTAGATTTAGAACGATTAGATTTTTAATAATATGTCCCCTTTAACTTCATGTAAAATACATTTTATTATTTCAGATTAATAACAATGTGGCTGTCCTCCAAAGTGAGCTAAAAACAAATCTGTGCTAAGTATTCAAACTAATGCAGGGACAGTTTATGACTCGTTATTTGCTTGTCCTTGAAAAAGTGAACTTCTTGTTTAACTGTGTTTTGAACTCTTCACAGGATAAGCCGGACGCCGTGAGCGTGTCGGAGCTGCGTGAAGCTTTGTCTCTGGGCTCCGTGACGGAGACAAGAAAGCTGTTCCTCTTGGCCGCCCAGCTGGGCTCAGACGGCGCCCTGAGGAACTCCTGCCGGGGCCTGGACGCCTTCCAGGACGTCCTGCTCCAGCTCGTCTGATCTCTACCCGGCTCACAGAGGAGGAGAGGAATCCTCGTCTTCCTTTTGACTTATTAAAGCTCTGCGTTACGTGAGGCGGAGGAGGAGGGGGCGGAGTCAGCGAGATGGAGCAGCACCTCCTCGTCTGCCTCCTCGCACGTTTATAACCACGTCAGTTTGGAAATAGCAGCTTTTAAAAACTCTTACTCAGCGATGAAGAGGAGGTGCAGAGCGAGGAGGACGAGGGATTGTTCAACGACTCAGACTTTATGTCGACCTGTGCGAGCGTGTAGATGTGTTTATATTAGTCAGGTCATATTTGGGGTTTCCAGGTTGGAGTTCCAGGGGACTGAAAAAACGCACCACCTACGAGAATCTACCGCCTGTGTGCTTGTGAGATTCCTGCTGACTCCTACACGGAGGCTGATCTGAGGTTTTGGGGGATTTAAAGGGATCTCCTGACTTTTAAAAAACAGTTTTATTTTTATTCTCACGACTCGGTCAGGCTCGTGTGAGAAAGTTTCGATGCTTTTCATGACTTTCTTTGAGAGTTTTTTAAGCTCCATTGTTTGAAATAAGTTTTGTGTTTTCGTTCTTAGCTGTGATTTAAGTCGTATTGTCAGAAGTTCACACGAGAGTTAGAGAGTGAACTGAATGTTTACAATGACTCACTTATATTAATGTCCGTTAGCTTACCATGCTAACGAAAATGATCTCCTGGTCAAATGCTCCATGTCCCTTTCCTCTTCTTGACATTGTGTATTTTATTAAAAAAATATATATTAATCAACCAGATACAGAGTCACTTATTAACAGCTTATATTTTAAATTAATAAAATTAAATTACATTAAGGGACAGGAAGCCTTAATGGTTGTTGGTAAAGTGACACTTTAATCTCCTTCAATTCAGACTCAAAGGACTCCCTGGATCTGTGTTTTAGACCTGACAACACTCAAAATGAAAGCTAATAACCCGATTTAGGAGTCACTAATGTTTACCAAGACTATTATAAATGTCAGTCTTGGAAATACAAATGCCCCCCCCCCGCTCGCCCCAGCATTTAGAGTTTCACAGATCAAAACCAAAATGGATTCTCTCTTTGTCAACAGGCAAGGCATGTCACTGCTCGGGACCCCTGGCCAGTAGGGGGCCTCCCAAGGGCGGACAAACTTTAAACCGTAGCAGAGGATCAGAATGTGCTAATTTTACAATGACAATAGGAAACCTCCCTAAAAGGGCCCCATCTGACAGTGTTCAATGTTGTTGAGCTACTAAGCGTTCCGGTATCCCTGTGAGAACTTAAAGTCTTTATATGTGATGTTTCACACTTAAATGTAGAGATCAAGTCTATCCTCTGAAAATAACTCTGTGAGTCATGACTGTCTACAATGGGTGTAACACCCGAGTCCCACTGTCTGTGATGTTTTCAGAGTTTTCAGAGTCCTATCTTCACTTTGTTTACATCGCCAGGACGGCCGGCTGACTCCTCCCCTCGTGTATAAAAGTTGTTTAATTGAGGGACTAGAGAAAAGAAGAATAACATACTGTACTCACTGCTTAACTGTGTTTCTAGATCACGCTCATTTCAGGTAAATTTACATGCAGTGTGAAGATACCAGCATAATAAAGATCGCTAGCATTAGCATGCTAACACAACAATGCAGCGCGAGTTGTTTTGGTTTCATGCTGGTGCTCAAGGACGACATCTGCTGGATCAAAAAATCACATATAAAGGCTTTAAGTCAGTTCCTTGAAGCTGGCATTGGTGTTAGAATATCTTTAAAATAACCGCAATGGACACTGGTTGGAGCGGCTCGACTGACTCTAGAATCGCTCTGATCATCACAGTTCCAAAGTCCAAACTCATTAAAACTCAACATTCGTTCAAAGGTTTCCCTAAGCAAAACATTCAGAAGGATTTCCATTCACTAGAAGAGATTTTCTAGTTTGGGTTTTAGTAACTCCGGAGCGGCAGGCATTATGATTTTATCTGCAGGATTATTGATGAGAGCTGAAATTGTTTAAACACAACCCTCAAACATTCAGCGACGCCAGACGTTGTTGTGTCTGAGTTTTTAACGTTCCCTCGAGTCGCTCGCAGCTCCGATAGATTCTCCGCCTTCTCCAGGAAGTCAGTGTGGACAAACACACTTGAACTTGTTTTTCTCCTGATTTTGTGAAAACAAGAAGAGAAGTTTTAGTCTCCTCGCTCTGCTCCGTTAGCTGTTTGCTCTTCAGATGCGGAAGGAGACGAGTAGAAACAGTCAAACTCATTGAATGTAAACTTCTTTATAAGCTAGATTCTGATTGTTAATGCTGTTTGTGTGCAGCCATGTTCTGATCATGAAGCAGCGATTTTTTAATGAATGTTAAAGTTTTATTCTTCTTTCTGACGCTCTGTGATTCTGCAGAAATGTCGTTGTCATGGTTACTGTGTTGTATTTAATGTAAAGTGTTGTTTTCACGTGTTGTGTTAAAAGATATAACGGATATGAACTCATGCATGTTCTCTGATAAAACATTAAAAGTGTCAGGTGCATTTCTGAAGTCTTAAAGTGGAGTTTGAATGATTTTACTCTACAGAGTTTATTTTCAGGTCAAAGGTTGATCTGCTGCAAAAACCACCTGGACTGACGTACAGGTTGACCCTCACCGTGGGAGTGGTTTCTCTTTGCAAACAAACAGATCTGAAGGTTCTCCTCAGCAGCCTCTCCGTGTTTGTCGGCCAAAGTTCCTGAACCAGTCGAACAGGAAGCTGTTTTCGTCTGAAACGACAGAGTTAAATATTTGCACATCACACTAACAGCTGTGCAGGTTTACCTGGAAACAGGGTAACGAGAAGCACTGTGAGGGGAAACTGTAGCATACAACATGGTAGATCTACGTTTGGTCAATCAGCCTTCTCCATCAAAGGCTGCAAACTCTGGAACACATTACCACCTGAAATAAAATTAATCTCCGACTTAAAGGGATACTTCACCCGTTGAAACATCACTCTGTATTGACATTGGGTCATATATGTAGTAGAATTGTGAAATAAATTTTGAAGTTGGTGCCTTCTTGGCCGTGAAAAGGCAGAAAGTGTCTTTTTGGCTCAGCTTCAGTGGTCGAAAATATGAAGAACTAGCGTTGTAGTTTCACCCCGCTAAACGCAACAGCTTCCAGTGACACAAAAATCGTCATTTTGCGTCACTGGAAGCTCCTTTACAGACTCAGAAATACAACGATTTCCCATCTCAGGGGAAAATGAGGGCGGGATGCACGACCATTCAAAAATACTACCAGGTTTCTAATGATACAAAGATTAATGCTAATGGATGAAGTGTCCCTTTAATATCTTTTACAAAACAGGTGAAATGCTCAAAGTAAGCCAGAGCTATTACCACTTTTAATTAGTATCTGGTTTATAACATTTGTATTGTTGTACATGTATTTTAATGTATCCTCATATGGTGTTATGGGGTTTTATGTAAATGTGTGAATGTTGTACATTTTAATCTGTTTGTTTACACAAAGGCCCAACACGAGTTGGAAATTAGCAATAGCTATATACTCTTTATGCAGCACATCAGTGTCATGCTTCGTATTGAAATTATGTTAAATTGCATCGTCCCTATTAAATAAATAAATTCAAATTCCTACGAGGGGGGGCGGAGCTTCAATCAGCATGAAAACTCACATCCGTTAAATGAAAGCTCGTCATCTTTTTAAAGCTTCGGGACCATAAAGAAACAAAATCTCTTTATTAGTCCATTTCAGAGCGCCGTTTCAGTCGCGACATTTACGCCCCCGTACCGTCTTCAGAGGCGTTACAGAGAGACAGGATCAGCTGATCCAGCGGGGGAGGACAGTGCTGTGTGTGTGTGTGTGTGCATGTCTGACTGTGTGTGTGTGTGTCTCACTGTGTGTGTGTGCATGTCTGACTGTGTGTGTATGTGGAGCTCCTGCTGTGCGTGTTTTGTATTCTTTAAAGATCCAATCAGTGAGCTGTGTAGAGAGTGAGATGATAAAGGTATCTTACTCTCTGATCATTAAGGAAACATGCTATGTTGAAGTGCTGGCTTCTCTGACAACAATGCAGCAGCCAGTATGTCCTCCTTCTAACTTTAGATTCTGCTCCTGAATGCTCTGGATTTGTTTGGACCAGAGAAGGTAGGCGTTGGTTTTAAGACCCCCCCCACACAGCCGTTTTGGACGCCCCTCTGTTTGCCAGATATGAGAGCAGTTATCAGGTCAACAGGTGTTGCAGCGATGGAAGCGGGCAAGAGAAGTGGTTCAGATAGAAGTGATTGTACCCGACCTAAAAAGCCTCTGCATGTTTTTCTCTCGTGGGTCAACTTTTCAGGCTTCAGAATAAATCCATTACAATGACATCACTGTTCAGTTTCTTTAAATGACCTTTAATGTCCTCAGAAAACGACGTAACGCGGTTACGTAACGTTGGCTGTAACTGTGGTCATCTGTTAGCAGCGCATGAAAAGATCTCTCTATGCATTAAAGCTTAACTAAATAAAGTTCAAGCGTGAAAAACGTCCAAGAGACGAGGTGCAGTCGACTTCACCTCAGACGGAAACATCCCGCTTTGATGGCGAGGATCTCAAACTGCAGAGAGCGTTTATTACAAAGTTTTTTTTACAGTGTAGAAAAGACATCACGATTGTTCTCATTGAATTCAACAGTTTTTAATAAAGCAGTTATTTATCTTCGTGTTAAAGTCATGTTGACTTGAAGAGGACACGTATCCAAACATTTTATTAGGTTTTACAGAAAGTCGATCTTTAAGTCTGTCTGTCCAGAACAGCGCCCTCGTGTGTGTTTGTTGATGTTCATACGGTTTATTAGCACCGTCTTTTAGCTTTAGCGAGTGATTGTGTATCTCGTGACTCCAGCTGTCCGTCTGTGACTCATATTCTTCCTTTCACACCAAGAAGTTAATTTTTACTCCTAAATTAACTTGAAGTCAGTGTTTGTCCGCAGCGTGTACGTGAGTTTTTATTCATCCTTGGAGAGAAAATAAGGTACGATAAAGATCCTCCTTTAAAATAAAAACATCTGAGTCTTTAATATTTGACATTCTGACCCGTGCCTCACAGCAGGCCGTGACTTCAGGATGAAATGGGGAAAAAAGACGATTACACCTGAAGGATCGTAACGAGACCTCGAGCTCGCTCCTGCACGTCTCCACGTTCTGTCACTTTGTTTCACGTGATCCGTGATGTCACAGTCTGAACGTCTCTCCAGAATGACGTCCGCCTCGCCGTGACGCCACAGACGGGTTTAAAGTCCAGAAACAGAAATATAAAGTGTCTACTGGTCCGTGGGCTTTGGAGCAGCGAGCGAGCTGATGAACGCGTCGTAGTGCTGCGAGTGGCAGCGTTTGTACTCGTTGATTTTCCTCTTGATCTGTTTGGGCGTGTCCTGGTAGTAGTTCTTCTCGTCTCTGGCCATCGCCTGCAGGACGCACAGAACAAACAGGACTGTCAGCAACCACATGATTCATTTTTAACTCCTGCAGCACGGAGAGAACGCAGAAAGGTTTACAGTTAAATATGAAGTAGTGTTCGGTAGGATATCTCGTTTCAGTAATCGCTCTCGCCTCACTCAGAGCGTGACGTGTGGATCAACAAACTCACAGAAGTCTGATTTTCAGAAGGCGGGTCTTAAACTTCCCGGAGCTGACTTGGCTTCTCACAATTTTAAGTCAGGGTTGAAATATTTTCCATTGTCGGACTTAACAAAGGACAAACCGTCTAGACTGACCCCG